GCAGGAGTCAAGGTGTGGGATGTTGGAGCCTGAGGAGTAGTGGGAAAATGACTCAGAAGCTGACTCAGGAAAGCTCCTAACTCTCCTGGTTCCTTGATCCCTGCCTCCCCATGGATCCCTGTGCTCTATAGAACCTCCTTGCTCACCGGGTTCCATTGCTATAGGGAAGTCAATGGCTCCATAGGGTGCCTCAGCTTCTCCCTACCTTGATCCCAAGGCATGTCACTAACCCGGAAGGAAATCCCCACCCCCAAAATTTGATGCAGATGGAGTTAAAATTGGAAGGAGTGTCATTATCAGCCATACAGAAAAACATCCCTTGCCAGAACAGAGGTCACAGTCAATAATAATGCTTCCCCAAAAGGGGTTAATAAAAGGAAAAGAAATCAAAACATCTTGAGTTAAAAACTGTGATGATGAGAAATACTGTGAAATGGTTAGTTAAAAATAAATTGCTCAAAGAGTCTGTTCTATATAGATTTAACACTACCCTCAACACCACAGTGACTGAGGGCTAAGCCCACAACAGTAAACCTCCAGCCACCATGCTAAGTGAAATCCTTGCTCACCTGGGACGTGGGAGACCTGCTTTCATGTCCCTGCTTTGCAGTTGGGACTTAAATGCAGGTTCTTCCCCTCCCGGGGGAGTGCCCTGACCACTAGGCTACAGAGTACACCATGGAACGTCTCTCTCAATCTCTCCTGCTGGAGCAGTTCCACTTTGCTCCAACAAATGTTTAATTATTTTTACAGGGTCTTGAACTTCCATCTCCCACAGCCTAGTAAGTGGCCTAACCTCTAAGTTTGGGCACACATCTCACCTGCTCTGCCCCAGCTGTCTTTTATGACAGGTATCAGTCTTAGTCATGCTTTGATTATGCCTGCAGGATTGGGCTCTGCTGGCAAGTTAGGCAGGGGAAACGCTTCGTTTGAGAATCCTGCCGGGGCCTATATCTAAGGTGGCTTAGTGCATGACTGCCAGTGAAACCTTGGGCACCTAGCTGAGCAGTGCTCTTGAGAATGTCCATGGTGCCTCACTGGTGGACTTAGAAGCAGTTTGTGATCTAGCCCAGAGCACCTTCCAATCATTCATTGAGCAAAATTATTAGCAGCTTTCATGAACGGTTCATTCTTTTTCTCATGCGCTTCCTCAGAGGAGAATGGGGTGTGTGGTATAGTGTGTGGTCAAGCCTATCACAGGGTTCAAAAAAAGAACTAGATAAATTCATGGAGGATAGGTCCATCAATGGCTATTAGCCAGGATGGGCAGGGATGGTGTCCATAGCCTCTGTTTGCCAGAAGCTGGGAATGGGCAACAGGGGATGGATCACTTGATGATTACCTGTTCTGTTCATTCCCTCTGGGGCACCTGGCATTGGCCACTGTCAGAAGACAGGATACTGGCCTAGATGGACCATGGGTCTGACCCAGTATGGCCATTCTTATGTTTTGGTTTGATAGGAGGGTTGAATTAGTTAGTTAGTTAAAGAGACTTAGTAAAATTATATAAATTGGAAAAAGACTATTATGAGAACCTTGGCAGGGACAAGCTAAAGGGACTGGATGTCCTGAGAAAGCCTCTTGACTGCCCAGTCTTTCAAAAGCCACAATATAGTTATATGATCCAACAGCAGAGCTATTTCGAGCACAGCAGCAAATCGCAGCATTTGCTAGCTAATCTTACGAAAATAAAGCAAGCCAGCAACTGCATATTCTATCTTTAAACAGAATCAAGGGAATTCATAACTAAAACTAAAGGCATTCTTCAAATAGTTCAAGTTTATTACAAAAGCTACTCTCCTCCTCTGAGTGAATAGAGACATAAAAAGGGCAATTGGAAACTTTGGGCCAGATTTTCAAAGGTATGGAGGCACCTAAAGATGCTGATGGTTCCTAGTGAGATTTGAAAAAGCACCTGGCAGGTTAGGCTGCTGACTCCCATGGGAATCAAGGAGAGTTAGGCACCTGGCCTGCTTAAACACGGTTACAAGCCCCACTAGGCACCATCTGTATTTTAGGTGCCTACATACCTTTGAAAATCTGGCCCTTTGCTACTTAACCCCTAACACAAAAATAAAATTATTCTATGAGCAAATCACACAGGAGGCTCTTAGAAATGATGTTAAAATTCTGACTAGAGGTAAAGCCCCGAGATCAGATGGATTCAGCAGTGACTAATACAAAAAGGTTGACTATATCCAGTAAAAACCATGCTGAATATGTTTATAAAATAGCTTTGGGAATAACAACCTACTTACTAGCTTCCCAAGGGGAAGCACATACCATGTTAATGCCAAAGCCACGCAAAGGCCCTATGCGATGCATGTCCGCCTATGTCATTATCAAACAGGGATGCAGAGATTCTAACAAAGGTAATAGCGGATCTCCTGGGACAGCTTTTACGATTGCTGGGGCAGGATTTGTCACAGAGAAAAGTAGCCAGTGATCTGTGTAAGCTACTTAACCAAACTCCCCACTCAAAACATTACAACAACCCATCAACAGTGGTAACACACATACCACAAAGGCCTTTACATTTGGTGTAATTGCCTTTTATGATAATCACACTGCAAAAAACTGGGTGTAGGAGGCTAATCTGTGAAACAGAACAACACAATTCCCTGCAAGCCTCTAGTCCTTAGTGGAATACATCATGTCTTTTTCAGCTAGAACCAGCTACAAGTCAGGGCTGCCCACAACCCCTCCTCATATTCAACTGAAGAGGAATATTAGCACAGCCAGAAGATTCTCTGAACAAGTTAGAGGTAGTGAAACAGCTAGGTAGGCACACAAAGTGGCATTACATGGGAATGAGATGCTTGTTTCCACAACACAACCAGAGTCACTGAGAGTATAAAATAAATTACTACAAATCTGAATATCCAGACTACCTTCCTAGGAATTTCCCTCCCAAAAAGCAAAGGAGAAAATTCTATACTTCAGAATTAAGGGATATGTATAAAGATAACTTGGCAACTAACTGTAAATATTAGGGAAGATGTTAGTAGATGGGAGATCCTCCCTAGGTCACTAATGGTCAGAGCAGTGTAATAAATGTGGTTATCCTGCCCAGCTGCATCCCTTTATTTAAATACTCATTTTTGTATTAGCCTAATCAGAATTGTCATTTCTCTTTTACGGCAGGGGAAGAATCATAGAAGTGAAGGACTGGAAGGGACCTCGAGAGGACATCTAGTCCAGTCCCCTGCCCTCAAGGCAGAACTACGTAATAACTAGACCATCCCTGACAGGTGTTTCTCTAAACTGTTCTTAAAAGCCTCCAGTGACAGATTCCATAATCTCGCTAGGCAATTTATTCCAGTGCCTAACTACCCTAACAGGAAGTTGCTGCAATTTAAGCCCATTGCTTCTTGTCCTATCCTCAGAAGTTAAGGAGAACAATTTTCACCGTCCTCCTTGTAACAAGTTTTTATGTACTTGAAAACTATTACCATGTTGTTGTGTTCCCTCTCCCCCTCGCCACCAATCTTCTCTTCTGCAGACTAAACGAACCCATTTTTTTCAATCTTTCCCCATAGGTCATGTTTTCTAGGCCTTTAATCATTGTTGTTGTTCTTCCCTGGACTTTCTCCAATTTGTCCACATCTTTCATGAAATGTGGCACCTGGAACTGGACACAATATTCCAGCTGAAGCCTCAGCAACACAGAGTAGAGTGGAGGAATTACTTCATGTGTCTTGCTTACAATAGTCCTGCTAATACATCCCAGAATGATGTTCACTTTTTTTTCCCAACAGTGTGACACTGTTACTCATATTTAGCTTGTGATCCACTATAACCCCCAGATCCCTTTCTTCAGTACAGTAACTCCTCATTTAAAGTCATCCCGCTTAACGTTGTTTAGTTGTTACATTGCTGATCAATTAGGGAACATGCTCATTTAAAGTTGTGCAATGCTCCACTCTTACGTTGTTTGTCTGCCTGCTTTCTCCACAGCTGGCAGCCTCCCTACGGCCCCTCCCCCGCAGTGCCTCCCACCCGCTGGCAGACTCTGAGGATCAGTGCCTTCCCCCTCCGCCCCCTGCCTCCTGCCAGGGGCAATCAGCTGGCTTGCGGCATTTTGGAAGCAGGAGGGAGTGGGGTGGAGTGAGGACTTGGCGCACAGGCTTCCCCTGCCTCCCGAACACGGCAAGCCAGCTGATTGCCCCGGGCAGAAGAGAGGGGGGAGGAGCGAGAACTCGGTGCGCCTCCCCCCTCCCTCCCCTACTCAGCAATCAGCTGGCTTGAGGCATTTAGAAGGGAGGGGAGGGAGGGGGGAGGAGCCAGGACGCAGCGAGCAAAGTAAAGGGGGAGGAGGTGGGGGGAGAAGAGGTGGGTCAAGGGTGGGGGCTTGGGGGAAGGAGTGGAGTGGGTGGGCTGAAGGTTGAACCCCCTGCCTCTGGTGCTTGAAGAATAGGGGAAGCTGCCCTGGAACCTACTCCCCCCTCCCTCATTTACATTAATTCTTATGGGGAAATTGGATTCACGTAACATCGTTTCACTTAAAGTCGCATTTTTCAGGAATATAACTACAACATTAAGTGAAGAGTTACTGTACTCCTTCCTAGGCAGTCATTTCTGTTGTATCCTTGGGAGCAGCAGTTTTAGGAAGAAATCACTTGAGACACAGAGAGCTGTAAACCTTAAAAGCAGCCATTTATTGCCACACACTGAACTAACCAAACCAGCCAAAACTGGCTGGGCTATCCCCTAATAATCTAACTCAGTTGCCATAGCAACAACAAGATTCTATTACCACGACAACCAAATACACAACATATTCCTTCCCCCTTAATGAGAACATCCCCTAAATAAAACAAACACTAAACTAGAGAAGGAGGGTAGACTGCCTCCATTCCCGGCTAAACCCTGGGGATTACTTTGCCCCGTAACCGTGGGTTCGCCCTAGCTAAAGATCCAGCCATTGAGGAGGCCTTCTGTCTCTAGGTGGATTACGGCGGACTTCTGGTGTTGTTGCACCCGAAAGTGTCTTGGGCGCAGGCCTGACAACGGGCTCCGGGTGAATGGGTGAGGATGTGGTATCAGCTCGTTCCAGGCAGGGGGGTATCTCAGCCGCCGGCAGTAATGGAGGGGGACAGTCAGGAACCAGTGACTCTTGATTCGGTGTCTCGACAGAAGTGGTGAAGTCAGGCAACTCAACTGAAGATGTGTCCTGAGGACTGGTATGACCTGGCAACAGCTGATCTACATGTCGCCGCCAGGTGAGATCCTCTGCAGTCCGGACTGTGTAGGAAACAGGTCCTGTTTGAGCGATGACAGTGGCAGGGACCCATTTAGCTCCAGAAGTATAATTCCAAGCCAAAACCGGCTCTCCTGAGCTAAAGGTCCTATCTTTTGCTCTGGGTGCACGCCGGATGACTTGATCTTGCTAGTGACGTTGCACAATCTGTTGGGGTTCAGAAGGTTTCAGCAGATCAAAGCAAGTGCGCAGCTGTCATCCCATCATTAGACAGGCCGGGGATGCCTTGGGATGCCTTGGTCGTAGCATGAGGTGTGTTTCTGTAGGATAGCAAGAAGGTGTCCAGACGCTTTTGAATGGATAATTATCGCTTTGCCAATTTCAAAGCTTGTTTCATTGTCTGCACAAATCTTTCAGTTAATCCATTGGTGGATGGGTGATATGGTCATCCTGGGTCTGCTCTAGGGTATGCAGGTTTCTCTTTTTGGTCAGCCAGACCACAAGCCTCTTTTTCTTTTGTTTACAGGCACACTCTATGCGTCCCTTTTTGCCACAGTGTCGACACACCAGGTCCTTACACAAGCATTCTGATGCATGGTGACCCGGCTTACCACTGTGGTAACATTCCTGACTCCGCACAGTTTTGTGGGTAGGTTCTTGTGACACCTTATGCACCCTAGGGGGCGCACCGATGTATTGTGTCTCCTTTGTAGCCAGTTTCATGGAGACAGCAATATCCCATCCCATCTCCTAGAACTGGAAGGGACCTTGAAAGATCATCGAGTCCAGCCCCCTGCCTTCACTAGCAGGACCAAGTACTGATTTTGCCCCAGATCCCTAAGTGGCCCCCCCTCAAGGATTGAACTCACAACCCTGGGTTTAGCAGGCCAATACTCAAACCGCTATCCCTCCCAGCCTTCTGTAAGGTAAGCTGAGCCTCTGTCAATAGGTGCTTCCGTATAGCTTCACTGTACAGGCCACACACTAACCTGTCACACAGGGCATCATTTAACATCTCCTTAAATTCACAGTGTTCTACAAGCTTTCTCAAAGTTGCTACAAATTGTACCACTGTTTCATCTTCTTTCTGGTCTCTTTTGTGGAACCTATATCTTTCAGCAATTACCAGTGGTTTTGGAGAAAAATGGGACCTCAGGATTTCCACAATGTCACTGTAAGATTTGGTCTCAGGCTTAACAGGGTGTAATAAGCTGCGTAGCAGGGAGTAGGGGTTTTAGCCCCTACAACACTTAAGAATATTGGCACCTTCTTCGCTTCTGTAATGTCATTTGGAATAACAAAAAGATCCAAACGCTCAGTATATACGTGCCATTGCACTATCCTCAAAAGGTTTCAGCGGCCCCGTAAGTGTAGCCATGGTTTTAGTTTCAGGTTGCACAGTCAGTGCAAACAAGCCAGTTTTCACCCCCTTCCAACAGCAAAAAGGATTTTTTGTTTTGTTTTGTTTTTTTGTACCTTGACTTCTACTTCCTTCTGTTGCTGGGGCAGCACAGGAATCCCATCCTCGTCGCCACTTTGTTACATTTTCAGGCTTCTTCTATTTTGTATGTGTACAACTTTGTTCCCTCCTAAGTGGAGTACTTTGCATTTGTCCTTATTGAATTTCATCCTATTGACTTCAGACCATTTCTCCAGTTTGTCCAGATCATTTTGAATTTTAATCCTGCCCTCCAAAGCACTTTCAACCCCTCCCAGCTTAGTATTGCCCACAAACTTTATAAGTGTTCTCTCTATGCCATTATCTAAATCACTGATGAAGATATTGAACAGACGGATCCCTGCGGGACCCCATTCAATATGCCCTTCCAGCTTGACTCTGAACCACAGATAATTACTCCCTGGGATCAGTTTTCCAATACTACTTGTATGGCCCTGAGGATGTCACATGGGCTGCAGCTGTGTACTGATTGGGTCACAAGCGTCCCACGGGCTGCAGGTTGACAACCACTGATGTAGGTTGTATTTCCCTAGTTTGTTTTTGAGAAGGTCATGTGAGACAGTATCAAAAGCCTTCCTAAAGTCAAGATATACAATGTATACCACTTCCCCCCTAACCACAATGCTTGTTACCCTGTCAAAGAAAACTATTAGGTTGGTTTGACATGATTTGTTTTTGACAAATCTATGCTGACTATTACTTATCACCTTATTATCTTCTAGGTGTTTGCAAATTGAATGCTTGATTATTTGCTCCATTATCTTTCCAGGTACTGAAGTTAAGCTGACTGGTCTGTAACTCCCCGGGCTGTCCGTATTCCCCTTTTTATAGATTGGCACTGTATTTGCCCGTTTCCAGGCCTCTGGAATCTCTCCCATCTTCTATGAGTTTTCAAAGATAATTGCTAATGGCTCAGATATCTCGTGAATCAGCTCCTTGAGAAATCGCACATTACTTTAGAGGAACTTGGTTGCCCAAAACAGAAAGGAGATATTGGGCTATGCAGCGAGGATACATTGTGCACTGGGCCCAGAAACCAGTGGAGCACACTGGGCTGGGAAGGGCATTTTGGCCTCGGGAGCCAGTGGAGTGCACCAGGCTAAAGAATTTTTCACCTGTTCTAGCAATGGTGGTTCCACTAGTGTAGACCAGCCGTTCACCCTAAAGAGAATCGATGACACAGTGGTACATTACTATCACATCCACCTCTGCTGCCTGTCTCTCCATTGACCCACTACTCAGATCTGGCCAGTCAATGTCCATCCTGATACCCTCCTGACTCAATCATGCTGCCCCAGATGTACTTCCCAGTGAAGATTCCTCTACTTATAACCTTTAAAGCCACCAGAGAGAAACTTCTACCCTGTAGAAGCCACCTTCCTTCTCCACATGGCCCCCACAGGCCACTGCAAGGGTAAAGCTCGTCTGTGCATGAGACAGAGCTTTCTTTGGGGATGGTCTGAGACTGGAGAAATGAACTCCTCCAGGAGCTAAGGATCATCACTAACCTCCCCAACGCAAGGCACACTGCTCCAACCTGCCTTTGCTAATGGAAACACAGAGCAGCATGTGCATATAAGAATAATAAAAGCACCCTACCAAACCAAAACACTCCACTGCACCCACACTTCCCCTGGGAAGAGGCTGAAAGACAGAATGAACCACATGTGACAGATGTTAGTCATGCACTTGCTGCATAACTGGAGGGTGCACAGACTATGGAGAGGAGGTTGGGAAAAAAACAAGGATAGATTTGGGGCCAGCTGCAGCAGACTCTGTATATAGTCCCAATTATCTGCATATGAAAATAGGGGGTTACAATGGAAACTCTTAAGCAATCTGAACTAGACAGAATGCGGTCAGGCACTCATTGTAACAAGGAATGCAATGCTAGAGTTGAAAAACAGCTTTCCTGCCAGGGCCTGCCCCATTTGCTGTTAACCCTGTAACAGATTGCACTATGGTGCCTGCCTCCATGAATCCCAGCAGCTCTGTAAGGACTAGTGCATAGGTCCTGGCCACCTAAACCCTTGGTAACCCCAGTAAGGATGCACAGTGACCTAACCCACCTGACCTCCATTAACCCACATCCTGGAACACAACACTTCAGTCCTGTTATAGCTTGACCACAGTGTATGCCCCTTTACCCACATGAGAGGCTGCGCATTGAGCATACCCATTTATCCAAGCTATTGGGATCGCTGCAGGAATCACTGGATGAGGTTCTGTCGCCTGTGATATACAAAAGATTCAGACCAGATAATCTAAGGGTACCTTGTTGCCTTAATATTTATACCTCAGTTCACCCCATAATAGTCTGCACTGCTCTCCAGCCCCCATTAGCCCTGCAGCATAGAAAGAGACATCAGAAGAAATTCCCATTTGCCCTCTCCTGTTCACCGCGATCGGTGATGCTCATTTTTGTCCAGCAGATATAAAATTGGGTGAGAATAAACTCCAAGCAGCTAACTGGCAGCACAGCTCTCACATCCAGCCCAGTACAGTGCCTCGCTGTCTGAAAAGCTCTCCTCGCACATCCCCCCGAACTCCAATGCACACTGGGCAAGAAGCACTAAGGCTTTAATTAGTCTGTAACTGAATGGCTGAATAGCCTCTGGAAGCTTTAAAAGCGGAAGTGCTAAGTATCCACTTCAAACTTCAGTTTGATGAATGTGAGCAAATCTTTCCCTCCAAGCAAAATTTACAACCTCTCTCCTTTTTACAATGAAATCCTCCCCACCTGTTTTTAGGGTTGGATCTTTGTGAGATTCATTAAATCAAACAGCAAACTCTTAGATGCATCAGTTCCTCTGTTTCCAAAGCTGTTTATAGACCCAGTTTACCCAGAGTTGCATTTGCCACTGCCCTTCAGCAGATAAATTTCCCCGTACAAACAGGAGCAAAGGAGTTTTGTTTACCTTACAGCTTCATTTTCGGCTCACAACTTACATCGGGGCTCCTTTCTCAAAGTGAAGATCTGGAAATTGTTAAGACGCTTGCTTTAAACCGTTGTCTCCACCCCGTCCCCCCAGACACCGTGCAGCGTGCGTTAGATGAGCTTACCCCAACTTTAGCAGGATGAGAAGTGAGGCAGGGAAGAACAGCATCTGGCAACAGAGAAAAGAGGGGGTGGGAAAGGGAAGAGAAGAGATGAATTTCCTGCCAAGACAAATGAAAGCCAGAAACATCATGTGTAGAAGAGGGGAGGATTAGCTTAAAAGAGAAGTACAGCTCCCAGGGCTACTGGTGTTTATTCCTTAGGCAAAGGGATCATTATTCATTTCTGGTCTCAGTCTTAATTGCTCCCATTCTTTTCTTACCATTAGCCATAAAAAATTAGGGAATGGGCAAAGATCCTTTTAATTCATGAGCACAAAGGGAAACCCAAGAACTTACAAGATCCTTCTGAAATGACCAGTATTGTTCATAATAGGCTGATTTTCAGCAGTCACTGTTGATTGCAGTTGCACTACTGGAGGGTTATATGCTATGTTTAGAGAGATGGGTGTTTCAGGAACACATTTATTAGGGCTGTTCTCTGCTCCCTAAGAAGGAATGGGCACAGAGCACTCAGCAGCAAAGGACATGCAAGCAGCACTTCTCAGGTCGCGTTTACACTAGAAAGTTTTGCTAGCAGGACTTTTGCGGCCATACATCCGCTGACATCGCCACATCAACAGAGTATACGCATGTGGCTGCTTTGGCTGACGCAGCACATCCTCACCGCACGAGCTTGTGTCATCAAAAGACATGGCTCACCATGGCTAGGCATCCTATTGTTCCCTGTGCCATCATCCTGCACGCTGCCATGTGGAACACTATGCCAGTGTATTGTGGGATACCAGCACTACACTCAAGGAATTATGGGAGCTTGGGACAATTTCCCACAATTCTCTTTCTTCCATCCTATAACGTTTCTTCCATCCCACACTTTTCTCACTGCTTTTCAGTTCATAACAACCTGGTTCACAGTGTACTTCACAGGCAAAGCCTTGACGGTAATCTTGTAAAGGACATGTGCACCAGTGCTGGAAGTTTCTCCCTGAGCAGTACCCGTAGGGGGAGCGCTGCTGTGACCCCTGGAGTGGCACCTCTATAGCGTGCTATAAGGGGAGCCGCACGCTCCCCCCACCCTCAGTTCCTTCTTGCCGGACCAACTCGAACAGAAGGGAAAGAGGGCGGGATGTGGAATAGACATGAGCAACACATCTCGAAGAATGCCAGTTACGGAACAGGTAACTGTCCTTTCTTCTTCGAGTGCTTGTTCATGTGTATTCCACAGTAGGTGATTGCAAGCTATGTCTGATGGAGGTGGGTAGGAGTTCACAGATTCCCTGGCTGAAGCACAGCTCTACCAAAAATAGTGTCATCCCTGGGGTGGGAGATGATCACATACTGCAACGTGAACGTGTGCACTGAGGACCAGGTAGCAGCTCTACAGATGTCCTGGATAGGGACATGGGTCACAAAGGCCGCCGCCGAGGCCTGAGCCCATGTTGAGTGAGCCCTTATGATAGGTGATGCGGAAACCCCTGCTAGGTCGTACCATGTGTGGATGCACGATGTAATCCACCAGGAAAGCCTCTGGGTGGAGATCGGTTGACTCCTCATGCGCTCGGCTGAAGCAACAAAGAGTTGTGAAGAGCTGCGGAACGGCTTAGTCCAATCCAGATAAAAAGCCAGTGCTCTGCGCACATCGAGCGTATGGAGGCAACATTCCTTGTTAGAGGCATGAGGTTTGGGGCAGAGGATAGACAGGAAGATGTCCTGGCCCATGTGAAAAGTGGAGACCACCTTCGGGAGGAATGCCAGGTGTGGGCGGAGCTGAACCTTGTCCTTGTGAAAGACTGTGTAAGGGGGGGGTCACAGGTCAGGGCCCTGAGCTCTGAGACCTGCCAGGCTGACGCGATGGCCACGAGGAAGGCCACCTTCCATGAAAGGTGAGACCATGAGCATGTGGCCAGAGGTTCAAACGGGGGCCCCGTGAGGCGGGATAACACCAAATTTAGATCCCACTGAGGGACAGGGGTTCTAGCATAAGGACAGGACCAGTTTAGCCCTTTGAGGAAATGCCCAGTCATGGCATGGGAGAAAACTGAGCAGCCCTGGACTGGCGGATGGAACGCCGAAATAGCCGCCAGGTGCACCCTGATGGAGGAAGGGGCCAGGCTTTGAGTTCTAAGGTGAAGAAGGTACTCAAGGATAAGTTGGAGTGGGGCAGACATTGGGGAAATACCCCGCTCACCTGCCCACCTGGAGAACCTGGACCACTTTGCCAGGTAGGCTTGGCACGTGGATGGCTTTCTACTTTCGAGGAGGACACGCCTGACCCCTTCTGAACACCTTCTCTCCTCCGCATCTAGCCATTGATCAGCCACGCTGTCAAATGGAGGGTAGCCAGATTGGGGTGGAGGAAGCGGCCCTGATCCTGAGAGAGTAGGTCCGGGTGGAGTGGCAACGGCCACGGAGGGGCCACGAGCAAACCCAGGAGGGTCCCGTACTAATGTTGCCGGGACCAAGCTGGGGCAATCAGGAGGACACGTGCCTTGTCCATTTTCACTTTCTCCAGGACCTTGCCAATGAGGGGAAACGGGAGAAAGGTGTAAAGGAGTTGACCCGACCATGACAGGAGGAAGGCATCTGAGATCGCGTTCCTCCCCACCCCCTATCTGGAACAGAACCTCTGGCAACGACGGTTCTGCCGGGTCGCAAACAGGTCTACTTGGGGAGAGCCCCACACTCGGAAGAGCCAGTTAGCAACCACTCGTGTTGGGAGGAGAAAACCCTGCTCAAGCGATCGGCCTGTGTGCTGTTGACGCCTGGCAGGTGGAAAGCCTTCAGGGAGATGTTGTGGGCTATACAGAACTCCCAGAGGCTGAGGGCTTCCAGGCAGAGGGCCAAGGACCTCGTCCTGCCTTGCCTGTTGATGTAAAACATCACAGCAGTGTTGTCTGTGAATACTCTGACCACCTTGCCGTGCAGCTGTGAGCAGGCTAAGCGTATCACCCTGAGTTCCCTGACGTTTATGTGAAGGGACAGCTCCGTGGCTGACCACAACCGGGGTGCTCCACTCAACTGAGTCGGAGCTCTAGAGCCCGGGGGGTGGGGACAGGGGCTGCCCGATGTGGATCTAGCCTCACCTCTTGCTTTCTCTTGACGCCTTTGACAGGACGGTGCCTTTCTCTGCTTCTTGGACGGGGAGTGGTGCCGGCCACCGGAAGGTGCCGGGAGATCGCTGCGCACCAAATATGAAGTGCCCGGTGCAGATTCCGCTCGGCGCACCGGGGTTGGAGCATGACTCCATGCTTGGCGACTCCATGAGAAGGGCCCGAAGTCTAATGTCTCTCTCTTTTTTATTTCTGGGTTTAAAGGACCTGCAGATCTTACAGCAGTCGCTGATGTGAGATTCGCCCAAGCAGCGGAGACAGTCGGTGTGCAGGTCACTTCTAGGCATCGAATGCCTGCAAGACTTGCATGATTTAAACCCTGGGGCCTGGGGCATGCCCCGGCCTGAACACTAACTAACTAATTAAGCTGAAACTTTATTGAACTAACTAACACAGGTACTACTAACAACTAAACGAGTTCTGAGACGAGCTGCAGCAAAGCTGGAGCAAGTAGTTCCAATTCACCGTCACTGGCGGCAAGAAGGAACTGAGAGTGGGGGGAGCGCGCAGCTCCCCTTATAGCGCGCTATAGAGATGCCACTCCAGGGGTCGCAGCAGCGCTCCCCCTACAGGTACTGCTGAGGGAAAAACTTCTGGCACCGGTGCACGTGGCAAGCACGCACTTGAGCAAGCACTCGAAGAATTGGTTGTCCCAACCAGGATGCAGTGCTTCCCTGCTTTTTCTGGTCCCAGAATTCAGTGTTGTTCTCTGTTCTCCATTCTGTATGTAAACTGAGATGTCTTCCTGTCCCATCTTCCATGCAGATGAGGCTGGGGGAGTTGTCTCTACTCTCCATTCTGTATGCTAATGGAGATGTCTTAATCTTGTCACCCTTGTCAGGAGGGGTCTAGGTGTGTCTCCCAATGCCCTTCACTGCTCTCTGCAAGTTTTGTCCTCTGATATGTTTTTGTTTATGCAGAGGATGGGGCGGAGGGGAGTGTCTTTCATGAGTCAGGCTGTATACTGCACCCTGGTTCCCCAAGAACGCAGAGGTGTCTGGTATCAAGTCCCCTCGTTGATGGGGTGCTTGCGCTGAGCGAGTATCCCGATCACATCCTTCCTCCGTGGTACCGGGTCTGAGCCTCCATCCATTGCACACG